ATGAATCAGCCTTTTTGAACAAATCTCTTGGATGAATGATTCAATGACTCACTCATAAATACTCCCCTTGTTTCATTACTGGATGATGAATCAGCGTTTTTAAACGAATCTCTTGAATGAATGATTCAATGACAGATTTTTAACAGTCACTTGTCGCCACCTACTGGTGTAACAATGTAACTGATATCGTTATTTTAAGGATCAAATTCCTTTCAAAAGGTGATTTACTCTATTTCGATCACATTGTAAACATCCGTCAGTGTTTATGTCTTAAATAGAAACGTTTATTCCACTACTTCTGTGATAAATTGAGTGATTGTAACACAGAAATAATGAAACTGTGTTTCATACCAATACATGAAGTTTCATACCGATACATGACAACGGCTCTCAGTGGATCAGAACACAGATCTGAATGTTCGCTGTGATCGGACTTGTCAAAGCTTTCTGTCATACAGGGATAAGTTCGCGTGGTTGTTTGAATGGAGCTCACGATCATGAAGCTCTGCTGTAAAATGCACATCATCTGTGATGCAGTAAACATGTTTTGTGATTGGATGTTGTTGTGTGTACCTGGGACTGTGATGCTGCAGTCTGAAGATGTGAACAGTCTCTGTGTTACTGGAGGCACATAGAAACTGAGCGTCGGCACTGAACGACAGCGAACTGATGCTGACATACCTGAACACAAACAACCACAGGCAACACATCTTTCACGTATGAATACTTGATGTTTCCGTCATAAAACACTCTTTCACTTTAAATTCATTTTAAAATGTTTAAATGTAGAGTTGCATCCCAACACTTTTGCAATTAAATAGCCAACTCATTTTTATTACAGTTTATGCACAAATACATATTTTCACACGTTGCTTAATTTGTCAAAATTACAGCTTGATTGGAAATGCCATTTATCTAAAGTGTAAAACATTAATATCTATATCAGAGTTTAGTGATTCTTCCAAAAACTTCATGGAAGCTATATTTATCCATGTATAAATGTCATTTATAATGTTTGAGGAAAAATATAAAGTTTAACATTTTTAAGGCAGCAAAATTTAACACTGCTTTCAAATTCTGATAACTTTTGTATTGTCATTTAAATAATTGTCAATTAAATTAAAATAAAATAAACAAAGTATTTTTTCAAAAATATTTCATTAATGTTTTTTCATTGCTATATATAAATAATTATATATATATATACTGCATGTATATATATATGTGCGTGTGTGTGTGTTTATTTGTTTATTTATTTATTTGTTTATTTTTAAGGATCCCATTAGCTGAAAGTCTGTGTGTGTATACAGCTTATGAAATATTTAACATTATAATTTTGAATTTGGTTTTCATAAGCTGTAAGCCATAACCATCAAAATTATAACAATTAAAGGCTTAAAATATCTCACTTTTCATGTAATGAGACTCATTACATGCAAAGTGAGATATTTTAAGCCTTTAATTGTTATAATTAAAAGTTGAAACGGTGAAAAAGGAATTTTTAAGTTGAATTACTGAAATAAATGAACTTTTGCACAATATTCTAATTTTAAGAGTTTCACCTGTATATATATATATATATATATATATATATATATATATATATATATACACGCCAGTCATGTAGTGGCCGTGTATATATGAAGAGTTCAGATGCAAAAGCCTCTAAATGCCATTTGAAATTTTCTTCTTTAATGATGATTTTTATTCAACTTGTATATTTAAGTTCAGTAATTTCACTTAAATAACAATTGATAGGTAATTATCATTGCCATTTAAGTGAAATTACTGAACTTAAATATACAAGTTTGATAAAAATCATCATTAAAGAAGAAAATTTCAAATGGCATTTAGAGGCTTTTGCATCTGAACTCTTCATATATATATATACATATATCTCAATTTTTGAGAGTAGCTAAATTAAATTATGAAGGCATTGTAGGACATTTCAGTCTTAATATAAGAAAAAGTCATGTGTTATTTTAAATAAAAGTCGACGTCTGGTACATACATAAATAAATTATCTCTTACCTCTTCATCCCTCGGCGAAACTCAAACAGTTTGTCTCCATCAGGAACGCTGAAGACTCGTATGACAGTGCCCTGGGTTATTACACAATCACACCCGTGAGAATAATGAGACGGAGAGTGTTTGAGAAAGCAGCCTTCACACACTCACTTTTTCAGAGGCGCTGGCCAGACTGGATCCTGAAGCGCTGAAAGCCACGGCGGCCACGTGACTGGAGTGAGCTGGGATCACGGTCACCTCCGTCTGAAATAACCAGAGGAGAGGATTTCAGCTCCGCTTCCCGTTTACAGATTCAACGGGTTCTTACCTCGTCTCCGCTACAGAATCAAACATTTTAAAAGATAATTGCGGCTTTTTATCTCACAATTGTGAGTTTACATCTCACAATTCTGTCTTTATTTTGCAGAATTGTGAGATATAAAGTCAGAATTGTGTGTTGCAATTGTGTTATAAAGTCATAATTGTGTGATATAAAGTTGCAATTGTGTGTTATAAAATCAGAATTGTGATATAAAGCCAGAATTGTGTGATATAAAGTTGCATTTCTGTGTTATAAAATCAGAATTGTGTGATATAAAGTCAGAATTGTGTGTTATAAAATCAGAATTGTGATATAAAGCCAGAATTGTGTGATATAAAGTTGCATTTCTGTGTTATAAAATCAGAATTGTGTGATATAAAATCAGAATTGTGTGATATACAGTCAGAATTGTGTGTTATAAAGTCAGAATTGTGTGATATAAAGTCAGAATTGTGAGATATAAAGTCAGAATTGTGTGATATAAAGTCAGAATTGTGTGTTATAAAGTCAGAATTGTGAGATATAAAGTCAGAATTGTGTGATATAAAGTCAGAATTGTGTGATATAAAGTCAGAATTGTGTGATATAAAGTCAGAATTGTGTGTTATAAAGTCAGAATTGTGAGATATACAGTCAGAATTGTGTGATATAAAGTCAGAATTGTGTGTTATAAAGTCAGAATTGTGTTTTATAAAGTCAGAATTGTGAGATATAAAGTCAGAATTGTGTGATTTAAAGTCAGAATTGTGTGTTATAAAGTCAGAATTGTGTGAAAAAAACTCAGAATTGTGAGATATAAAGTCAGAATTTTGTGATATAAAGTCAGAATTGTGTGATATAAACTCAGAATTGTGTGTTATAAAGTCAGAATTGTGTGATATAAAGTCAGAATTTTGTGATATAAATTTGCAATTGTGTTATAAAGTCAGAATTGTGTTATAAAGTCAGAATTTTGTGATTTAAAGTTGCAATTATGATTTATAAAGTCCAATTCTAAGGCAAGAAATACTGATTTTTTTTCTAACTCACAAGCTTATAACTCACAATTCTGCCTTTATAACACGCAATTGCGACTTTTTACCTCATATAAAATTACTTTTTCATTGTTCAGTCTGTGGTGGATTCTTACCAGATTGCCAGCATCATACAGGGCGATTCGTCCAGCGGTGACGCTGCCAGGATAGGCCAGGTATGAGTTGGAATGATTGACAGATAAAGCGCAGAGTCCTGCCGGATGAAGACAGAAGACAGCAGGCGTTCAGGTGAGACACACAGGCACTGTTACCTGCGCTGTACGTGTGTTGCAATATGTGTGTTAGTATGTGTGTGTGATTTAGGGTGTGTATGTGTGTGTGTCTGTGTGTGATGAGTAGGTTTAGGGTGTGTGTGTGTGCGTATGTGTGTGTGATGGGTAGGTTTAGAGGTCGGGTTAGTGTGTGTGTGTGTGTGTGTGTGTGTGTGTGTGAGACACACATTGAGCTGTGTGCAGTGTGAACCGTTCACCTTTGGGGTTTGGTGGCGTGTTGAGAACAGACTTCAGGAGTTTCATGTCCTTGATGTTATGGATGTACAGAGCCTCCTCCAAACAAACCACGAGTCTCTGAAAGAAGGAATATAAACTGCTGGAATACACCAGAAAATACATTTATTTGATGAAAAACACAGTAAAATTGTGAAATATTATTATAATGTAAATCATCTGTTTTCTATGTGAATATACAGTAAAGTGTAATTTATTCCTGTGATCAAAGCATCATTAGTCACATGATCCTTCACAAATCACTCTAATATGAGGATCTGATGATCAACAAACATTTATGATTATTATAGTGCTGGGCAATGGCTAATCGCGATTAATCGCATCCAAAATAAAAGTTTGTGTTTACATAATGTATGTGTGTGTACTTTTCTATACGTAAATACACAGACATGCATGTATATTTAAGTTTTTTTATTTTTATATAAATTATATATAATGTAAATACATATACAGTATTTACATGCAAATATTTTATTAAATATGTGTCATGTAAACACAAACTTTTATTCTGGATGTGATTATTATCAGTGTTGGACACAGTTTATATTTCTGTTGATACATTTAATTTTTCAGGATATTTTGATGAATAGAAAGCATTGATCAGCATTTATATGAATAGAAATCATTATACCGTAAGCGTTTTTACTCTCACTTTTAATTCGCCCTGTTGAATAAAAGTATTAATTTGTCCCAGCTGTGTGTTGAGTTGCGAGTGTTGTACCTGCCGGTTGAGTTTGACTGCGAGGATGTGGCTGGAGTAGCTGTAGTTGCAGATCTCTGTGCGCTTCTTGAAGTGGATGATGTTCATCCTGAACGGTGTAGATCTGCTCACGATCACCATCAGACTGCTGGAGAACAGCCGCTCCGCAACACACACATCAGGACTTTCCTCTGATCACACACACACACAACACGGGCAGTGAACCCGTACAGTGTTACATACTGAGATTTTACATTACACAGAAGATGCAAAGTGAATGTCATTGCACTTCGATACAAAATATTCAACTATGTGGCATTTGCAATTAAATTAATCCAGATCTTTTCTCGGAACATGTTTCTAAAAACCTAAATGTTATTATAGTTAACTAAAGTGTTATTATAGTTAACTAAAGTGGTATTATAGTTAACTAAAGTGTTATTATAGTTAACTAAAGAGGTATTATAGTTAACTAAAGAGGTATTATAGTTACTAAAGTGTTATTATAGTTAACTAAAGAGGTATTATAGTTTACTAAAGTTGTATTATAGTTTACTAAAGTGGTATTATAGTTAACTAAAGTGTTATTATAGTTAACTAAAGTGGTATTATAGTTAACTAAAGTGTTATTATAGTTAACTAAAGAGGTATTATAGTTAAGAGGTATTATAGTTAACTAAAGAGGTATTATAGTTAACTAAAGAGGTATTATAGTTTACTAAAGTGTTATTATAGTTAACTAAAGTGGTATTATAGTTAACTAAAGTGTTATTATAGTTAACTAAAGAGGTATTATAGTTACTAAAGTGTTATTATAGTTAACTAAAGTGGTATTATAGTTAACTAAAGTGTTATTATAGTTAACTAAAGTGTTATTATAGTTAACTAAAGTGTTATTATAGTTAACTAAAGTGTTATTATAGTTAACTAAAGAGGTATTATAGTTAACTAAAGAGGTATTATAGTTACTAAAGTGTTATTATAGTTAACTAAAGAGGTATTATAGTTTACTAAAGTTGTATTATAGTTTACTAAAGTGGTATTATAGTTAACTAAAGTGTTATTATAGTTAACTAAAGTGGTATTATAGTTAACTAAAGTGTTATTATAGTTAACTAAAGAGGTATTATAGTTAAGAGGTATTATAGTTAACTAAAGAGGTATTATAGTTAACTAAAGAGGTATTATAGTTTACTAAAGTGTTATTATAGTTAACTAAAGTGGTATTATAGTTAACTAAAGTGTTATTATAGTTAACTAAAGAGGTATTATAGTTACTAAAGTGTTATTATAGTTAACTAAAGTGGTATTATAGTTTACTAAAGTTGTATTATAGTTTACTAAAGTGGTATTATAGTTAACTAAAGTGTTATTATAGTTAACTAAAGTGGTATTATAGTTAACTAAAGTGTTATTATAGTTAACTAAAGAGGTATTATAGTTAAGAGGTATTATAGTTAACTAAAGAGGTATTATAGTTAACTAAAGAGGTATTATAGTTTACTAAAGTGTTATTATAGTTAACTAAAGTGGTATTATAGTTTACTAAAGTGGTATTATAGTTTACTAAAGTGTTATTATAGTTAACTAAAGTGGTATGGGCTATATGCACGCATAAGTTCCGCATTTGACGCAAGGATGCTCGTCCATTTCCGGTTGTGGAGATTTAAGCGGAGGAGAACCGAGGAAAACGGGATTATGGCAGAGTCTTTTCACATTTACTGTCCTCCCGTCTTTGAAACGAAACGTACATACGTTTAGATGTAATTTTATAGTTATGTTTATTTAATATAATATTAAAAAGAAGCATAAACACAACGAGGGGTGTCTGTTTTATCTGTTTTTGTGACTAACGTTTCTTTATTATAACCATGGAGTATAAAATTCAATAAAATTCTCTGTATTGTATTGGACTCTACGATCGGCGGAAGTTATCGAGCATCCTTAATCCTTCACCGGAAATACCGCCGTGCATAGAGTCCATTATAAAGTGGTATTATAGGTAACTAAAGTGGTATTATAGTTAACTAAAGTAGTATTATAGTTAAAAGTATGAAAATACATTTTATCGTTACTTGAAATAAATAAATAGACATTAACTGAAATAAAATAACAACATTTTAAAGAAGCTACATGCGTTTTCCTGAAATTTAAACTCGCGACTGACACCTGTGGCCAAAAAACAGAACTGCTCTTCCTTTCTGCTCGCTCTCGCAGCGCGCGCTCGTACGTGCACACTTCACAAGTCATCTGCTGCAAGGAGGTCAACATTATGTTTACAGAGGTAAGAACAGTTAAATACATATTTGTTTGAGATAAGTGTTCTGTAGGCTACTTGCTGACTAGCAGTGGTGGGCTGGCGTGATCTGAGGGTTTTCACCGACGTCCGACGTTCTGGCCGGTAACCCGGATGAGCGGCCATTATGGAGGCACTCGGATGTAAACAACAGCATCGACTGCACCTTAATGTACAACTGAACACATTATTACACTAAAAAAATCCGTGGTAGATGCGAACTCATATAGAGAAGGACCTTATTCATTTGCATAAAGATAAACATCGGCCAGCTGTTTGACGCGCTGCATTTTTTCAAATGTAGCGCGCCGCCTGGATGCTATGCGGAAAATACGTGACATGAACGCGCTTGACGTCACATCCGCAGACAGCCCGGGAAAAGTCCGACCCGACAGAAAATAGGAAAAATAGGATACAGGCTGTGAGCGGACAAGGTGTCAATATGCTCATCAGGAGATGTTTGAGTCATAAATGGTAAAATAAAAAGGCTATTGTTATGTTTATTTTGGGGGAAAAGCTGCATATAGCCTTTTTAAATAAAAATGAATAAAAATAATTTACATTTAATAATTCATAATTTATTTTACAAATATATATGACAATAACAACCAAATTGATAAAACATGATCTAAAAATGTATTTAAATTAGTGCTGTCAAATTGATTAATCGCACCTAACATAAAAGTTTTTGTTTATATAATACACACACACACACACACACACACACACACACACATTATATATTTACAAACTTTTATGTTACATGCGAATAATCGATTTTAATTATGAAAATGAAAATATAGAAATATTCAAAATATTAATAAAAACTAGGTATAATAGTATCTCAATGATTCTAAAATAACACGGACATGGTTGTTTTATTATTTCAAAACAGCTTTGTAAAAATAATTTTAAAAAAATCATGATAGTTTGATTTATGAATTTATGGCTCTCTTTACAAATGAATGATTAAAACCTTGGCAAGTAAGGCAACATTAAAGCATTTGAAATATAAGATTTGATGACTGTTATTATTTTCAAATGTTGACAGTATAGCAATAATACAAAGATGTATGTGTTCAAATATGAACCCTCCAGATGGTCAGAACCACGACTCATTTATCTCTGGCTGTTTGAACACTTCATGTGTTGGGTCTAAGATGACCTGACCCTGGCCTCGCTTCTGTTTATTTTACAAACTTCCCAAAATCCTGCAGGAATCAAATATCTGGGACATCAATGGCTCTGTGGACAAATGTTCAGGATGCGATTTTAAAGCAGTTTTTTTTTATTTACCTCCTTGATGAATGCAATCCATTCTGTCAACAGACGACAGAGAGAAGAGCCTGTAGCCATTCTTACAACCAACAGCCAAAGACCTGAGAGAGAGAGAGAGAGAGAGAGAGAGAGAGAGAGAGAGAGAGAGAGAGATAGATAGATAGATAGATTGATAGATTGATAGATTGATAGATTGATAGATGTGATGTTTGTGATAGGTTATAGACTAATATCTGTATCAATATCATTTATTTAATATCAGTTCAAAGGTCATGGAAAAACTCGTCTGGTTTTTAAGAACATACGGATCCCGACAGGATTCATATGCGCGCTCACGTCGTGTCCTGGTTGAAGGAAGCGCAGGAGAGTCTCTGGAGATCCGGAGATCCATCAGAACCGAGTCTTCGAATCTTCTCTCCGGTTCCGAACTCTGGCATCGGTTCGATCATCCTAAAAACGTCCCAGTCCTCAACGAATTAAAAGACCTTTGGCTGGTGTAACGTTATGTCTATAAACTACTTTAAAAGAAAATGACATGTTGGGCAACTTAATTATTGTTTTTAAGGTAATTATTATTACATGCTCGATTAACAACGTCCACTGACTGACATGCACAGTATTCAGTTTGAGCAAAACAAGCTGACGTGAGGCGCCTTCGTCATAGAGCCATGAAGAATCTTATTGGTTCAAGAAAACGTCTGTCTCGCTTGGCTCGAGCCCACTGCTCGAGAACGGTGTCTGATTGGCTCACTCTGGCACTAATGGGCGTGGCCTTTTAAAAGCCGCTGGTGATTGGCCGCTTTCACTCTCAATAACAGCACGAGGGATTGTTTTGGTTGCGTTCGTCGAGCTTTCATGGCTTATATAAAGAACTTCTTGTTAATAAACCACACTTAAATAAAGATACACGCGTATAATATCCTCCTTAATTCAAGCGTCCAGCATATTGGAGACATTTGTTTGGGATTTTCTGACATTTCAGTGTTTCTACACAACTCAGAGCATGTTGTTTAGCCATTTGTCAGATGATTTTATTTGTTTAGATTAAAATCAGGCGAGAATGACACTTAATGGTCCTATATTTTAATTTATCTTTGTACAGTTTTTACAGAAAGTTGCGATCATTAAATATATGTTTAATGGCAGAATTCCTGGTGAAAAACTATATTACCCATAATTCTGCGAAAACTCTCCACCAATCAGAGAACCGAAATGAGCAAATTGCCCCAAAAGAACCGCCCACTCCCATGAAGCATTGCAAACTACACTCTCAAATTACTTCAAATAGCCTATAATGTTTCTAAATACTTGACATTTTAAATGATTATGTTATTTGCAGTTCTTCAGGGAAGTGGACGCTTCTTTTGGCACAACTTTTTACAATTCTGATTCGTGGAGATAGTGTGCAGGGTCATTATAGACATTCACCAGGAATTATGCTAATTCTGTTCTGGAGTTAAACATGAATATTTTTACAGAATAAGACTGATTGTTTGAACAGATCAATTAACAATCTTATTTCTGTCCCTCCTCAAGGCCGTTAAGTTGCAGCTTTGTGGTTTCGTCTGATTTTCAGTTCTGAGGTCAGTGGAAACGTACATTTAAAAAAAAAAACAAAACTAAATAATTAAATTAATATTAAAATAACCAAGTAACTAACCATATTTGATTAAAATATGTATTTATTTATTTATTTGAATGAATAAACTATATATATATATATAATTAATTATAATAATACATAATGCATAAATTGAATAAAAATAAAAATAATTTGTTTTAATTTAAATAAATTAATTGCTTAAAATAAATAAGTACAATTTGATTTAAATTAATAAATAATAAATACACATTTTATTAAAAATAAATAAATACATCATTTATTAAAATAATTAATGAATTGGATTAAAATTAACATAATTGGTTTAATTTAAATAAAATAATTGATTAAAATAAATAAGCAAAGTAAGACTGATTACCTTAGAGCAAAAAACTACTGTAAAAAAAAACAAACAAAAAAAACTTTTAAGTAGGCCTACAATCAACTTGGTTGTTTATGTAATTTCAACTTAAATAATAAAAAAAAATGGCTTAAACAAATGAGTCAAATCTTGTATTAAAAATTTTAAAATGTATTAACTAATTTTGTAGAGTTAAAGCAATGAAAAAACATATGCTTGCTGTCATAATTTATTATTGATTATATATTTTTTCCATAGTGATTCCAGAAGTCGCCGCTAGGTGCCTCTGTATCTCCAGGCGAATAACAGGGAGGGAACCGATAAGACGCTGATGAATTCTCTAGAGTGAAAGAAAAGGATCTGTCTTTCTCTCTCTCTCTCTCTCTCTCTCTCTCTCTCTCTCTCTCTCTCTCTCTCTCTCTCTCTCTCTCTACCGCCAGAACCCTCAGCGCAAACACAAAGAGGAAGAGAAATACACTATATTCTCTCCCACCACTGAGTGGGCACACACACACACACACACAGCCTCGGGCTCCATCAGTAGGGCTCCATCGGACTCCATCGAGCTCGCGGTGGTTTCGAGGTTATATGAAGGTTTTCATTCATTCATCATTTCCTGCCCGCGATAGAGAGACTGTACCGGAGACTGGATCGATCCTCGGGGGCGCACGTCATGGCGAATGAGCCCGAGCGCAACAGCCGCGATCTGCGCGAGCTCCGGGAGCGCGCCGGGAACGACAGATGCGCGGACTGCGGTGCCGCAGGTGAGTGTGTGTGTGTGTGTGTGTGTGAGAGAGAGAGAGAGAGACACAGAGAGAGTGTTCACACTCACCTGATCAAACCAGACCTGAACCTGCTAACACACCTGTGTGTGTGTGTGTGTGTGTGTGTGTGTGTGTGTGTGTGTGTGTGTGTGTGTGTGTGTGTGTGTGTGTGTGTGTGTGTGTGTGTGTGTGTGTGTGATGGGTAGGTTTAGGGGTTGGGTTCGTGTATGTGTATGTGATGGGTATAGGTTTAGTGTGTGTGTGTGTGTGTGTGTGTGTGTGAGGTTTAGGGGTCAGGTTAGTCTGTGTGTATGATGGGTAAGTTTGGGGTGTGAATGTGTATGTGTGTGTTTATGTGTGTGATGGGTAGGTTTAGGGTGTGTGTATGTGTGTGTGTTTGTGTATGTGATGGGTTGGTTAAGGGGTTGGGTAAGTGTGTGTGTGTGTGTATATATTGTATTGTATTTTTATTGTCTATTATTAAATATCTATTATTATTAAATATTTTTTATTATTTATAATAAATAATATTATTATATTTTAAATCGATTCATGGAATTAAAAAATATATATTGTTGTTTGTTATTTTAAGTTTAATTAACTATATAAAGTCATTACATTATTAAAATAAACATAAGTGATATAGTACGTAGTAGTAATAATATACGGCATATATATTAATTTAATATAATAAAATAGCATTATATTTTATATAGTTCATATTTTAATTTGTGTTAAAGTGAAGTTATAATATATTTGTATATAGCATATATTATGTATAATAATGTATGATATAAAATATATAATATAAAGCATTGCATTTGTATATATGTAATTGTATATATTATTTTAATTAGATTTATAAAGATTTTATTGTTTATTATCTACATAATTGCTGTGTGTATTTTAAAGGCCATAGCTATAAACATGTGTAAGCAGGTAAACACACATTGTATTAGTTAGAGTGTGAATCTTCAGGGGTGACGCATGTGTGTGTGTGTGTGTGTGTGTGTGTGTGTGGCTCAAGAATCGTCCTCCATGCCCACGAGAAGTGGCACCAATGGCAACTTCGTTGATCCCCTCCCTAACCCAGAAGCAAGCGCCATCATCGGAAACGATGGGCAGCTATGAGTGTGTGAGTGTGTGTGTGTGTGTGTGTGTGTGTGTGTGTGTGGAGATTCTGCAGTGTCATTAAAGTGATTCAGCGTATGTCATCAGTGTGACCTTACAGACTCACGTCATCACTCTGAGCCTCGCAGGGAAACTACACGTTTCAGGATCAGTTATGTGATCACACACACACACACACACACACCCCCCGACCCAAAACTAAAGGCTTGTACAGTGTTGGTTTGCTGACACACAGCATTGAGTCACGCATGTTGTTCGTAATGCGAGTCGTTAAACATGGGTTTGTGGTGCATTTTTAAGAGGGTGTGTGTGTGTGTGTGTGTGTGTGTGTGTGTTTGAGAGTGTCTGTGTGTGTGTGCGTGATGGGTTGGTTTAGGGGTCAGGTTAGTGTGTGTGTGTGTGTGTGATGGGCAGGTTTAGGGGCCGGTTAGTGTGTGTGTGTGTGTGTGTGTGTGTGTGATTAGGTTTAGGGGTCAGGTTAGTGTGTGTGTGTGTGTGTGTGATTAGGTTTAGGGGTTAGGTTAGTGTGTGTGTGTGTGTGTGTGTCATTGGTGGTGTGTGTGATGCTGTTTTCCTCCGGCCTGCAGTCGTAATACGGGCTGATATCCAACGCTGGGAGTCACCATATTATTACGGCTTTAATAGGACAGTGTGTGTGTGTGTGTGTGTGTGTGTGTGTGTGTGTGTGTGTGTGATACTGTACTGAAGCTGCAGTGCAGGGAAATATGTACAGTGTGACACTGTATCTGAGCCACTGAGATCATTAATATTAGGAAATCTATTTTTTCATCCAAACAGCGGCCAAATACATGAGCTGTGCAGGTATAGAGCCGAGAATACAGCTGAGTCACCCTCTCTTTGTGTGACTCACACACACACACACTCGCGCGCACACGCACATGCACACACACACACACACACACACTTCAGATGATTCAGGGTGAATAGGGTGAAGAGATCCCACACTTCTGTTTTCCTCACTTTCGTTATGTGTGTGTGTGTGTGTAAGGCATGTCTTGAGTGATGGAAGAAACCCCTACATATTTTTCACAACCCATTTTTTCAGTGCTGTCAAATTGATGAATCGCATCTAACATAGAAGTAAAAAAAAAACATATATATATATATACTGTATATATATATATATATATATATATATATATTTATATATATGTGTGTGTGTGTGCGTGCGTGTATACAGTATATACATACTGTATATATGAAGAGTTCAGATGCAAAAGCTTCTAAATGCCATTTGAAATTTTCTTCTAGAATGATGATTTTTATCAAACTTGTATATTTAAGTTCAGTAATTTCACTTAAATGGCAATGAAGATTACCTATTAATTGTTATTTAAGTGAAATTATTGAACTTAAATATACAAGCTTGATAAAAATCATCATTAAAGAAGAAAATTTCAAATGGCACTTAGAAGCTTTTGCATCTGAACTCTTCATATATATATATATATATATGTATATATGTGCACACACACTCATATATATATATATATATATATATATATATATATATATTTGCAATCTTTTGTTAGATGCGATTAACCATGATTAATCGATTTGACTGCAAGTATCACAGATATATACTAGTTTTAGTTATTCATTTGAATTAGATTTAAAACATATTTATTTTACTTTAATTTTTGTTATTTTTAATTAAATTTCAATGTCTATACAGTTTTGCATTTTAGTTTTTTAATTTAGTTTTAATTATTTTATTACTTCAACTTTTATTTCAATTAATGTTTATTTTATTTTAAGTAATAAAAATCTAGTTTTAGTTAATGATAATAACCTTGGTGATTAATGATAATATATATATATATATATATATATATATATATATATATATATATCGCGATCAATTGCACCAAAATAAATGTTTGTGTTTATATAATATATGTGGGTGCACTGTGTATAATATAGTAATATAATAATAATATGTATAATATTATTTTATATATAGAAATACACACACATGCTTGTATATATTTAAGAAATATTGTCATTGTTATACGGTATATAGATTTATATATAATTTATATTATATATAAATATAAATATTTGATATATGAATAATATTTTTTTAAATATACATGCATGTGTGTTTATTTATATATACACAAAATAATTGTACACAGTGCAAATACACATATATTATGCAAACACAAACTTCTATTTTGGATGTGATTAATCGCGATTAATCGTTTGACAGCACTAATATATATATATATATATATATATATATATATACGTATGTGTGTGTGTGTGTGTTTTAGTTAAAATAAATAAATGCTAATAGCCTTGGTGTATTTACATATATATATACTGTATATATATATATATATATATATATATATATATATATACCGGTATATTCTGTTTGTTTTTTTTTGTAATTTTAATAATTTTATTGTGTTTTTTTGGTCACTTTCATCAGGTTTTTAAAAATATTTTAGTTTTTAAATATTATAAGTTATTTTAGTACTTCAGCTTAAATTAAACAAAACTGAGAAAAGTTGTTTTGGCAACCACTTGAAATAAAATAACTTTACAGGGTTTTTTAAATATTTTAGTTCAATTCAAGTAATGAAAATGTTTTTTGTTGGTTTTAATTTTAGTTAATATTTACCCTGATGTCAGTAACTGGTCGACTTCTTTCTGTTATTACATAAAGCTAAATTGCCACAAGTCTGGCTCAGTTTGACAGACAGAGAGCATCATGGGAGGGTTTTCACAGACATCATTGTGAAATAGTAAATACAATTCCCTAAAATAGAGAACATTAAAACTGCGTCTTGTGCTGAAGCCGGCAAGAATCACTTTACTATCTCTCACACTTGAGGTGTGGCGAAAATACAAATATGACCAAAAACCTTATCTACACTCACAAGGAAATAAGAGTCTTAATCTTTAGCATAACACTGATAAGATGTGCTGTATTTCTGAAAAATAAGGCATGTACAGTGAAAACAGCAAGAGTCCTAAGACTGAGCCCTGGGGGACACCACATTAGAGAAGCGGAAGAAAAGGTGCATAGATTTACAGAAAACGCCATTTTCTCTTTTAGATCGGATGAAAAGCGTCGTCCCCTGGATGCCCGACATACACTATAGACGATTGAGAAGGATATTATGAACACAGAGCGATATAAACTTTACAGAAATTGATGTCATAGGAATCACTTATTACCCATTGCATCATTTCACCTTCATCATCGATTTTATGTATTTATTTTTTGGGTCTCTCTCTCTCTTGCACTCTCATCACAACACTTTTTGCCTTTATGCACACAAATACATATTTAGAAATAGGGCAGACTTCAAATCTTTGAGATATGTGGCTTATACCCAGAATAACTGAAGCCTCAGAGCAGCACACGCGATCTATATGGAGAAACCAGCGGTCTGAGACGCCTCTTGCTGTTAGTGTAGCCGTTGACCCAGTGCACTCAATCTCTACACGCCTGCTCGCTTTATTTCACACAGTGAGTAAAAGTCAGTGCACATGCAAATCATCCACGATACACCATTACCATCTTTCCACAGATGCATAAACATAGTCATCATGTTAAGACTGTGACTTAATAACTAGCTGGCCAAGTAGCGGTTAGTCAAGTCTTACTTTTTATCTTTTTTATGCAACTGACATATAATCAGTGTCGAAGATAGAAAAATAACACGACTAACTTGTAAGACTAGTCTGAGCAGTTTATGCAACCGGACACTGATCAGATGCAAACGAGTCCAAAACAGTCGAAGCACATGCCGACGTTTGTGTAATGCAGTTATCGATCATGTGAAGCACATTCGAAGTTCAATGTAAATAACAACAACGATTTTTGTCACATGACTTTTTTCTGTGGAACACAAAAGAAGAAATTTTGGTAACATTTATGCATAATGCAATACAAATGCGTTCATTAAAATGCATTAAATAGTTGTAACTATTGATCGCATCCAAAATAAAAGTTTGTGTTTACATAATATACATGTATGTGCACTGTGCATAATTATTTTATGTATATAAATACACACGTATGCATGTATATATTAAAGAAATATTTTCATCTATATACTGTATATACACTCTAAAAAATGCTGGGTTGTTTTAACCCAACTTTGGGTCAAATATGGACTAACCCAGCCGTTGGGTTAAATTTTTACATTACATTTTTAACCCAACATTTCGGGTTTGTCCATATTTGACCCAAAATTGGGTTAAAACAACCCAGCATTTTTTAGAGTGTATATATATATATATATATATATATACATCTATATACTATATATAATTTATATTATATTTAAATATTTGATATATAAATAATATTTTTTTCTTAAATATACGTGCATGTGTGTGTATATATATATATATATATATATATATATATATATATAAAATAATTCTACACAGTGCACATATATGTATATTATGTAAACACAAACTTTTATTTTGGACGCGATTAATCGCGAATAATCGTTTGACAGCCCTAGTTAAAATGCATTATAATATTCGCAGATTTCTTTCAAAGGGTTAACAATAGTATTACTGTAATAAAGCTGTGGTTACAATAATTTATGAGATCACACAATGCATTGTAAGGTGCATCACAAGGCATAATTAATGCATTAAAAATGCATTATATATAAAGGCTTTTACCGAGACGGTCTGGTTTGTTTCATTGATCCAGTTCACAAAAGCGGTATGCATGAATCTGATTGAAAGCCTTTTCACGCTGAAAACGATAACTAAAGATAACTCGCATCCTCACCAACATGATAAGCACAATGCAGTTTTGTCTTCTTTAAATGCTCAATTCCTTAAAGAATGTTTTTATTGTTCATCAGCTGGAAAAATCTATTTCTAGTGAATAAAGTTGCTCTTTTATGTGTCCGTTTTGAAGCTTGCAAGTAAAAGAGCGACCTGGACATTCTTCAAAATGTCTAATTTCGTGTTGCACGAAAGAAAGAGGACGTGAATCTGCATTTGGTGCTCATGTGTGTGTTGTGTAACTTTACAAGCACAAAGGTGTGTGTTCTGGTAGCAGAGAGCCACACCTCGATCAGATAACCAGCCAGCCGAGAACTAAAAGTGGGTAAAAGACCAAACAAAGTCCATTTCATTTGGTCACAAGCCTCTGTATCGCTCTCTGTCTCTCCAATCGCCCCTCTTTCTCCTTCAAACAATAACTGCACTGTTTAATCCCACGCAGTGTGTGTGTGTGTGTGTGATACTCATATATGACACAGTTTCTCGTGGATTGCATCACTTTTGGAAGTCAAAAAACCTGACTTTCAGTTCGCGCCTGTTCTGTCACATCGACAGCCGAAACTCCCATGCCTTCAGCGCTCACGGCGCAGCGTTTAGCAACACTCGCACCTGAAGTGTGTCAAACTGTGACACAATGTGTGTGTGTGTGTGTGTGTGATCAAACAGTGTGTATGTGTGACTTTCTCTCGCCCTCTTATTGTGGGTTTGCTTGTGTTTGACATTTCAGACTAACGGTATTATTATTATAGTGACCTCTGTGGTTTGTGTATGCAGTTTATAAAGCCTCACCTCAGCATTAACACACAGCGGTTGTGTTTTGGCCTCCACTAACAGTCCCAATTGCACATGCATAAACGTTGTAAAAGTATAGCACATACCATCCAAAATATGCAATGATCAAATTAGTGCACAGTTGCTGCCTCACATTTTTAAGTGCAATCAACTTGGGTATTTAAGTTATTTCAGTGTTTATACATGCACTGACTTAAAAAATTAGTTCAATCTTGTTTAACATAAAAAAGTTGAAATGTCAATGTCAATAAAACTTAATGATCATATCATTTTTATGTATTTTATATATTTATAATTTGCATAAAGTGCCAGAGGTGCACAAATAATGGTTACCTTTTGAGCTATGAACTTTATCGGAATAGTTTAAAGTAAAATGTATTTTTTAATGGCTAGCTGTGAAACAAGTTAAAATGCATGAGATTAAAACAAATTGGGTTTATTGATGATAAAATATATACACCTGGGTATTGTGCATGTAAAACACGTTATTCAGTTATTTCTACTATTACAGAAATCGTACCCGTTGTATTTATGCATGACTGACAAATATTCTTCATGTTAAGTTTATTAGTTTGTTTATGCTTAATCCAAACGGATGGAAATTTTGGTCACACTTTAGTTTAAGATCCAATTCTCACTATTAACTACGACTTTTGCCTCAATGATCTCATAATTAATGCTTATTAATAATTAGCGAGGTAAGTATTGTAGGATTAAGAGATGAAGAATATGATCATGCATTTTACACTCTCAGAAAAAAGGTACAAAAGCTGTCACTGGGGCTGTACCTTTTCAAAAGGTAAACTTTTGTCCATGTTAGGTGTTAATATGTACATTTTAGGTGGTAATATGTAAATTTTAGATGGTAATATGTCAATTTTAGGTGTTAATATGTACATTTTAGGTGGTAATATGTCCATTTTATGAGCTAACATGTCAATTTTAGGTGGTAATATGTACATTTTAGGTGGTAATATGTCAATTATAGGTGTTAATATGTAAATTTTAGGTGGTAATATGTCCATTTTATGAGCTAACATGTCAATTTCATGAGCTAATATGTACATTTTAGGTGTTAATATGTAAATTTTAGGTGGTAATATGTCAATTTTAGGTGTTAATATGTCCATTTTAGGTGATAATATGTCCATTTCATGAGCTAATATGTACATTTCAGGTGATAATATGTACATTTCAGGTGCTAATATGTACATTTCAGGTGATAATATGTACATTTCATGAGCTAATATGTCCATTTCAGGTGATAATATGTAAATTTTAGGTGCTAATATGTACCACTAAGGTACTAATATGCAGCCTTTGGATACAAAAGTGTACTTTTTGAAAAGGTACAGCCCCAGTGACAGCTTTTGTACCTTTTTTTCTGAGAGTGTAATAATAAACACTTAATATGCTAGTAATATGCATGATAATAAGCAAATAGTTCATAGTGAGAATTGGACCCTAAACTAAAGTGTAAATTTAAATGCAATAAAACTAATTTTAGGCCTAAATGTTTTTGCGAGTGATGATGTTCCAGTAGTGGAGTCTTCATATTTCATATTTCATGACAGATTAGCGAAGGTGTGTGTGAATGTTGTTCCTCTGTTGTTCCTCAGAGCCGGACTGGGTGTCTGTGACTCTCGGTGTGTTTGTGTGTCAGGGATGTTCACTCATACACAGAAGTATTCCCATTCTCAGCCGGGTGAAGTCTGTGACACAGGACGCGTTTGAGGAGAAAGAGATCGAGGTGAGGAACAGACACACACACACACACACACACACACACTGGCTCTTTGCCTATGAAAGATTGAGGATGAAAGCATTAGTGCACAACATAAGCCTGTGAATCTGAAGAGAGCTGATGTTAGTGATAATCTTCACAGAGTCGTGATTGACAGAACCATCAAACGGCTGAATGATCGATAAGAGCACAAGCAAACGCTGCATTCAATTAAAAAAACGCAGTTCTGAATAATCAGGGTTGCTTACTAATGCTCAGATCTCATTTCACTGGGCGATGATGAAACGGGCCAAGAATCGTACACTCTTAGAAGAAAAGGTTCTATATAGAACTTAACAAAAAGGTTCTATCAGCGCTACGTATTTGAAACCCCTAAAAGGTTCTATACACTCTTAAAAAAGGGTTCCTCTGGGTTCTATATAGAACCCTGGGGTTCCGTACTTGGCCAATAGAACCTTTTACCAAAAAAATGGTTTATATCAAAATTTTATTATATATATATATATATATATATATATAATCAAATTTTATTTTATATATATATATATATATATATATATGCTGTGACATAGGTAATCAGGTTATTTTTTATTTATTTATTTTTTTCAGTTTTTTTTTAGTTCTGAATGGCCGGTAACTTAAAAATTTAGTAGCCAAATTGGTCTGTGAGTAAAAAAAATGTAATTTGAAACCCTGTGTCACACCCTACACTGGTTAATAGGGATGCATGATATTGAATAATATATGCAATAATGCTTAAAATGTGTAAAAAAAAACTTAAATTATCTTTAAAATATATTTAAAATAATATAACCTACATATGCATTTCACACTCTTTTTGTGACAAGAAAACATACGTCTGATAGTGAACATCAGTGTTTTACTGTTTTACTGAAGAAGTGTATATAGTTCACTTTTCCAAAATGTTTTGCTGATAATTTACTCGCCCCCATGTCATCCAAGATGTCCATGTCTTTCTGTCTTCAGTCGAAAAGAAATGAAGGTTTTTGATGAAAACGTTCCAGGATTTTCTCCATATAATGGACTTCAATGGGGTCCAAACGGTTCAAGGTTCAAAAGACAGTTTCAGTGCAAACTACAAACTGTTCAAAGGGCTTTAAACGACACCAGATGAATAAGGCTCTTATCTAGGACCCTTCGAGTCATGACTCGAAAAAAGATTCGTTCATTTTGATGAACGAGTTCGAACAGGAGAGTCACGAACGCTCATCACAGAACAGAGCAAGGCGAGCATTTGTGCTTATAAAACTTAAACTTTGTTTTTCATTTATTAAACGAGCGATCGTTTCGCTTGATAAGACCCTTATTCATCGTCTGGTGTCGTTTAAAGCCCTTTGAACAGTTTGTAGTTTGCACTGAAACTCTCTTTTGGACCTTGAACCGTTTGGACCCCATTGAAGTCCATTATATGGAGAAAATCCTGGAACGTTTTCATCAAAAACCTTAATTTCTTTTCGACTGAAGAAAGAAAGACATGGACATCTTGGATGACACGGGGGCGAGTAAATTATCAGCAAAAGCTTTTTTTAAAGTGAACTACTCCTTTAACATCAGTGTAAAGCACCGGTGAATCATGCATCCATTCTCTCTCTCTCTCAGTTGATAAATGATCTGGAGATGTTCAAATATAGATGAGGAGTTAATCAGTGTATTTATAACGTTGACTGATGAATGTTTGCAAATTATATTTGAGTAATATTTTCTGGTAAAACAATACTCATTGTGTGATGTTTCACTTATTCATTTACAAAGTATTTTTCTTTCTTTTTTTATTTTATAATAATTTCTTTAGAGACCCTTAAAAGTAAAAAAAAGTCTCTCTCTGTCTGTAGTTTATCTCTTCTGTGGGGAACGAAGCGGCGAAGGCCAAGTACGAACAGCAGGTTCCTCCGTTCTATCACCGGCCCTCGCTCACAGACTGCAGGTACGACCCAATCACACTAGTCCTGTTATCATCAGTAGTACCCGAGGGAGTGTGCTATTCTAAACATATCTGCTCCCTGTCGAGTGCACTGACTCGCCTGCCTCTTTAAGACTCGCGTGTTTCTTGTGGTCATTCTGACATCATCGGCATCATTGTGGGGGTTTTCAGTGTTCACACACACTGTTTTCTCACATGGCTGGAGAAGATGTGGTACAGTGATGTAGATGTTTGCTTCCTTCCTTCCTGCGTGTGTGTTGCGTTTCACGATGTGCTGAAATCTTCTGTCCACATGCAGTCTGTGAACTGTAGAGCGGCTTTTCACCTCATATTTCATTGATCATCATCCATGGGGATTTATTTCTTGACTCTTAAACTCAAAATACAGCCTGTGAAAACCGCTTTGAAATTGAACATTGCGTTACATTGCATTGAAAAAGTGCTTTAGGTTTTGGGATTCAAACACCTCAGTTAGACAAAAGACTTTGATTTTAAACAATGCTGGGTTGTTTTAACCCAAACTTGGGTCAAATATGGACAAACCCAAATGTTGGGTTAAAATGTAATTTAAAAAGGTACATTTTTAACCCAACATTTGGGTTTGTTCATATTGACCCAAGTTTGGGTTAAAACAACCCAGCATTGTTTAGAGTGATATTTTGGGTTTTTTATATAAAATAAGTACTTTTTTACACTTTTATTTTTCTAAACTTCAGGTCTGTATTGCAAAGCAAACATGTTCAGATTTACTGTATGAAATTAATAAAGACCTTATTCAAATGCTGAATATATTCATTTTAATAATTGTTTGACTCACTGTAAAAAATGATTTTTTGGTTAAGTAAATATTAGTGATAAAACCCAATGTAATTTACTTGAAAAAGTTAGTTCAGGCAAGAATTTAAAAAACTAAGTAAATTCCATATCAGTATAAATGAAAGTGTAATATCAACTCAATAAAATTAAGTAAAAATTACTCAACTTTTCTGATACTGGGGTTCCCATCATGCACTGGACCTTGAATAATTAATGAGGTTCATTTTTTTACTGGTTTCCAGCTGTATTTACACTGTTTTATCATTGATTTTTGTTTTCAGTATTAGTAAATTGCCATTTTGTGACATTTCGAGTAAATTTTTCAAACACAAAAACGATCCATCAAATGTTACCACCATTGTGTATTGTCTAACAAGTATTGAGGTGTTTGCATTCACATAAGGCTTAAAGTCTGACATGATGTATATATAAATTACTTAGATGATCTAAGTAAAGCTAAAGAACATACTATAAATGACTAATACAATTCAAGATTATTGTTTTAGTGAAATGTAATACAAAGGCAAAGGAAATCGGTATTAATCAACCTTTTACAAGCCGAGTTAAAATTACTTATTTTTTGTAAAGTTTACTTAATTCCACATTCCAAGTAAATTTAACTTAAAGATTTCTAATTAAAGCTACTGATAAATATGTTTAGGTTTTTACTTGGCAAATCTTTGTAAATTTACTAGCATTTTCTGAGTGAGATCGTTTAGCAAGGTTTTTTCAAGTAAATCCTACTCCAAATTTTTTACAGTGCTGTAAGATAATTATTTTAAAGGATACACACTGTAAAAAAATTATTTGTACTATTTACAAGGAAATAAATAAAAAATTAAAATGTTTATTAAAAAATAAAAAATTAATTAAAAAAAATTCAGTGTGTTACTTGACATTTATTTGTAATTATTGGCAGTAAAACAAGTTGTGAGACACACATTTTCAATTATGTGAAATAAAATCACAGAAGTGAAAACACACAAAGTCACTATTACATGATCTAGTTTAATCTCGTTTGAAATAATTGTCCGATTTTTCGAAATCTTGGAAATATGTCATTTTACAGAAGTAAGGGATGTTGTTGAAACAATGCATTCAATAAAAAGGTAAAAGAATAAAGGCTTTATGCATGTGATAAATATGCTTTTTTTGCTGGTACACTGTAAAAAAATATTGTTGGTTTAACTTACAAAATGAAGTAATCTGGTTGCCTTAAAATTTTAAGTTGATTGAAATGGAAAAAGTGAGTTAATACAATGAAGGAAGGAATGAACTCAAAATAATAAGTTATCTGAACTAAATAAATTATTTAAGTTGATTTGACAAAAGAAAAAATGTTGTGATAATAAATCTTGAATTTTTTTTTTTTTTTTAACAGTGTAACATCTAAATGAAGACTAGATGAGACTAGAAATATTTACAAAACTTTTCCAAAACTGTACATGTATATTTTACGTGCAAATATTTATTTCCTGAATAAATATTGCAGTCTTTCTACTTCAAAATGTCACTGTTGCCGTTTCTTTGTGAAATTTTGCTGAAATCATAAACGTTTATGTGTGGATTTGGTCAATTTGTGCATTTCTATGTGCATAGCTGTGATGAATAAACCTTTTTTGAGAAATACGGCAGTCTGACGACTCAACGAAACACACATTAATGAAGGAAACGGCCATCCGAGCAGTTCTGAAGGCTTGAGGCGATCGAGTGAATTAATGCTTTAGTTTACACCAGCTGCCGAACACACACTTCTCTCTCACTGTGCAGTTCTAATATAATATTGACACATTAATTTTTCTTATCTGCAGAATTTTGAGGGAACAGTGGATCCGAGCCAAGTATGAGCGACAGGAGTTTATACACATCGAGAGACAAGAGCCGTATTCTGCAGGTAAGAGAACACACACACACACACACACACACACTCCTCCTGCTGTGAATGATGGCACTATAAGGTCAAGCTCACTTTCTCATCTCTCACACACACACACACACACATGGATGATGGCACTATGAGGTCATCCTCGATCTCTCTGGAGGTTTGCTTCTTCATGAGATGCACATTAACAGCGCGAGTGTCGATATCATCTTCAATATCCTGTTACGCTCTTGTTTATTGTGCCGCGAGATCTCATTGGCTGACAGTGATCTCATCGATGATCCACACACACATCTGTGTTCCGACACTCGCACTGAAACTGGTGTGTGTGTGTGTGTGTGATGGTATGTTTGCAGTGAGTGTAAACAGCATTATTCACACTTCATACTATGAGTTATTGCATTTGATATATGCTGTATACAATATGTGTGTTTGAAAGAGTCTCTTCTGGATTTATTTGATTAAAAATACAGTAAAAATGTGAAATATTATTATAATGTAAATATAAAGTGTAATTTATTCCTGTGTTCAAAGCATCATTAGTCACATGATCCTTCAGAAATCACTCTAATATGAGGATCTGATGATCAACAAACATTTATGATTATTATCGGTGTTGAAAACAGTCGTGCTGATTTTTGTCGAAATTGTGGTAAATATTATTTTTCAGGATTATTTGATGAATAGAAAGTTCAAAAGAACAGCATTTATTTGTAACATTATACATGTATTTTCTGTCATTTTTAATCAATTTTCTGCCTTAGATATTTACATGCATATAATTAAACATTGTTGATATTAGATAAAATGTAATTATTGTATTCATAGTTATAACAAATGTGTATAAATGTAGCATCTATATATGTATAAAATTAATATAAAAATATAGTAATACAATTCAATTACCATATAAATAAATACTCACACACTGGCATATTTTATATTATATTTTATTAATTTATCATATATTCAGGTCATATGAAACGATGTGGGATATTTCCTTTGTTGTTGTCGTGTTTTTATGCGAATGTTTTGTATATTCTGGACTGACCGTTATAATGTAAAACAGAACGAGATCTTTATAAAGATCAAAGGCTTCTCTCATAATCTCTATATCTACCATCTCGTCTTTCACACACACACACACACACACTTCTAAAACTGCTCAGTTTTAATCAACGCTCTAGTTTCGTTACACATGTTGATCCTTTCCGGCTCACAGAGAAGAGGAGATACTACTCAAGACTGATAGATAGATAGATAGATAGATAGATAGATAGATAGATAGATAGATAGATAGATAGATAGATAGATAGATAGATAGATAGATAGATAGATAGATAGATAGATAGATAGATAGATAGATAGATAGATAGATAGATAGATCTCTAATCATTACGATTTTAACATTTAAAAAAAACTTAAAAGAATGTCCAACTGAAAAGCTGTTTTATACTGAATCTATTTTCATGGTACTAATATTAACTTTTTTGTGCGTGTGCAAGTGTGAGTGTGTGTCTGTGTGTGTGACAGAAACACACTCACAGTGAATATTAGTACCATGAAAATAGTTTAAATATTAAAACATCTTTTTCCTAAAATATTTCAGTTGGACATTCATTTTTAAATGTTACTACTATTCCATTTTATTCTTTAGGAACTTATTAAATCGATTCTAATAGTGACGAGTAACTAGTAACATATTTCAAATTTTTGCCATTTTATGGGAATCTGTCATTCAGATATCAACTATTCAGGTCTGACTATGTATTCCAATTGTGACTAGTACATATTTTTTATATACTAGTAGTTATTTATTGCATAATGGTATATTCATTATACTATTATTAAAGATACTAGGGCACATTTATTAGAGACTGACACTAGTACTTATTAGAAATGTTACTAGTAATATATATATATATATATATATATATATATATATATTAGGGCTGTGCAAAAGTTAACATTATATATTTGTGTTTACATAATATATTTGTGTGTGCTGTATATAATTATTTTGTATATATAATACCTATGCATGCATGTATATATTTAAGAATTATTTGCGCTTAAATTCTGTGTATATATATACACTGTAAAAAAATATTTTTAAGATTTGTTATCACAACATTTTTTCTTTGGTCAATCAACTTAAATAATTTATTTAGTTCAGATAACTTATTATTTTGAGTTTCTGATGATTAAATCAATATCCTTCATTGTATTAACTCACTTTTTCCAGTTCAATCAACTTAAAATTTTAAGGCAACCCAGGTTACTTAATTTTTTTAAGTTGAACCAACAATATTTTTTTTCAGTGTATATATAAATACATAATCAATATTATATAAATATAAATATTTTATACATGAATAGCACATTTTCTTAAATATATGCATGCATGTGTGTGTATTTATATATACAAAATAATTATATACAGCACGCACAAATATATTATGTAAACACAGACTTTTATTTTGGATGCGATTAATCACAATTAATTTTTGCACAGCCCTAATATATATATATATATACAGTATAGCAAAATAGGTAACACTTTAGTTTAGGGTCCGATTCTCGCTATGAACTTGCTTATTATCATGCATATTACTATGATATTGGCTGTTTATTACTTATAAAGCACATATTAATGCCTTATTCTGCATGATATTCTCTTAATCCTACAATACTAATAAGCAGTAATTATGAGTTTATTTGGGCAAAAGCCATAGTTAATAGTGAGAATTGGACCCTTAAATAAAGTGTGACCACAGAAACACTAAAAACATGTATTTCTTTATTCTTTTCCGTTTGAACTTCGGTCATGTACAGTGCGTTACAACTTCCTGTTTTACAAAAATGTTTTAAGGATGTGGATATTGATAGACTGTAGAAAAGACTCAGCTTGTGTGTGTTTCAGGCTACAGAGAGGGCTATCTGTGGAAACGCGGACGAGACAACGGCCAGTTCCTCAGCCGCAAGTTCATCCTGTCCGAGAGAGAGGGGGCGCTCAAGTACTTCAACAAACATGACGTTAGTTCTGTCCTTCTGACACACACACACACACACACACACTCACTCAAACACACACTGAGCTATGTCTTCTGTCTGCAGGCTCGAGAGCCGAAGGCTGTAATGCGGATTGAAACTCTGAACGCTGCGTTCCAGCCGGCGAAGATCGGGAACCCCTGCGGCCTGCAGATCACGTATCTCAGAGACAACAGCACCAGGAACATCTTCGTGTACCATGAGGACAGTAAGGTATCACACACACCTGCTAATAACTCAACAATGTCCCTTTGACTTGTGTGTGTGCTCTTGAATTTTTCATACATTTCACATTTACACGCGACTACACTGTAAAAAAAATATTGTTGGTTTAACTTAAAAAATGAAGTAAATTAGACTAGTAGAATTGAAGTAGATTGATTTAATCATCAGAGACTCAAAATAATAAGTTATCTCAACTAAATAAATTATTTAAGTTGATTTGACAAAAGAAAAAATGTTGTGATTACAAATCTTTGAAAATATTTTTTTACAGTGATATGATACTGTGTGAGATCCAGAACACAATATCTGACGGTTCACTCATCTTTATTCACGGATCCCGCCTGGAATAACTCCTCCTCCGGCGCTTATTAATAAAAATAACAATAACTGCATCAATCCTCAATTTTTCATCCTGACTGAATGCTCCAATATCCCATACACTGTAAAAAAATATTGATGGTTTAACTTAAAAAAGTAAGTAACCTGGTTGCCTTAAAATTTTAGGTTCATTGAACTGTAAAAAGTGAGTTAATAACAATGAAGGAGATTAATTTAACCACCAGAAACTCAAAATTATATGTTATCTGAACTAAATAAATTATTTAAGTTGATTTGACAAAAGAAAAAATTTTGTGATTACGACACTGTAAAAAATATTGTTGGTTTAACTTAAAAAAGTAAGTAACCTGGTTGCCTTAAAATTTTAAGTTGATTGAACTGGAAAAAGTGAGTTAATACAATGAAGGAGATTAATTTAACCATCAGAAACTCAAAATAATAAGTTATCTGAACGAAATAAATTATTTAAGTTGATTTGACAAAAGAAAAAATGTTGTGATTACAAATCTTGAAAATATTTTTTTATCCAGAACACAATATCTGACGGTTCACTCATCTTTATTCACGGATACCGACTGGAATAACTCCTCCTCCTCCGGCGCTTATTAATAACAATAACAATCTAAAAATAACTGCATCAATCCTTAATTCCTCATCCTGACCGAATGCTCCAATATCCCATATTCTCCGGGATATAAGTCATAAATGTATCGTGAATGAGAGAGAAGTATGTTTATTTTGTGTATTTTCTATCCTTCAGTTCACTGTAAAAATGACTTGGTCAAAGTAAGTGACCCGGTAGTGACCTGGTTGAAATAAAATATTAATAGAGTTAATATACAATGATTGGTTTAATGAACAGAAACTCAAAATATTATGCTTGAACCACATAAATCCACACAAAACAAAAACACATCAAAAAATCATTATCATTATTATTAAGTTGATTTGACAAAAAAATGTTGTGATAAATCATCAGTTTCAGTTTTGCTTTAAACACATTCATGCTTATTGTTTTTAATTAATATTGTTAATAATAATAATACCTGTTTATGAGCAGCATATTTTCCATTCCTGTTCTGTTCTGAAAACCATTTAATTTAAAATGTATTTAAAATTGAAATAAAATGCCGGAATAAAAAATTGAAATAAAATACTTGGATTCATTTACTGGTATTTTACATTATTTCTAAATAATGATGATAATAATAATAATAATAATAATAATAATAAGATGCGACTTACTGTTTTTTGTTCTCAACAATGCAGTTTTCCAACTTATTTTCTAGAACATTGGTTATGCATTATTGATGTGTAAATATGCATTTTTTAAACACTTTTATGACATACAGTGCATTCAAGATTTACATATTACTGATTATGATTATCCATATGCAGCAGTGGCTGAAAGTGATGAGTTATTTGTTTTTGTTTGATTAAACTATAAAAATAAGAGGAAAAAATTTTATGCTTTTAAGTATTTTAAATATGAGAGAAGAACAAAACTGTAAACTTGGCATAGGTGTTTATCTACATGTGTGTGTGTGTGTCTGTCTATGTGTGTGTGTGGGACTGCGTGTGTGTGTGTGTGTGTTGTGCTGTTGGTCAAGATGGCGCTTCTGCCAGTGGTTTTGTGCTAAAAATGCTGTTCCTCTTTCACCAGCACACACACACACACACACACACACACACACACACACACACACACACACACACTGATGAAGAATTACCATTAGAAAGACAACTAACTCTATTTTAATGACGGATGGAATAATAGTCAGAAATATGTTTTTAATAACCCTTTTAACAACATCAAAATCTTAAAAAAAGTGTGTATTGTCGAAGTGTGTATTGTCGAAGTGTGTATTGTCGAAGTGTGTATTGTCGAAGTGTGTATTGTCAGGTGAAATATACCAGGCTCTTTGTGAATATTTGGATGCTGTCTTGTTTTTATCAGTATTGGTCATTCCAAATAAGATAACCAAATGTGTGTGTGTGTGTGTGTGTGCAGGAAATGGTGGACTGGTTCACGGCGATCCGGGCCGCGCGTTTTCATTACCAGAAGGTGGCGTTTCCTGGAGCTAACGACGAGGACGTACGTGAATCAAACTTACTCCAGCGACGGACTCATAAACATGAGCTATGAGTGTGAAACTCGCTCTACATCAGACGTTTCTCACACACACACACTGATTACTCACAGTTTCTGTTAATCTTGTAAATATTTGAGAAGCTAAATTACAAGATATTAATCGTTAATTTGAGACAACATATCTGAACGTTGTATAATTCTGTATATTTCCAAGCATATTTAACAGAATGCAATGCAGTTAATACAGATTATTAAATTATAACTATTTCATAGTCTTATTATAGTACATAAACTTCTCACATTTTAAATGGTAAAAAAAGACAATAA